TCAGGTCCACGTCCCCTGTGCTGGGCAGGGACCAAACCCGGGTCCTCCACGTTCCAGGTGAGCACCGAGCCACCGAATTTAAAAAAAAAAACCCAAAACAAAATAGAGCCATTACTCCTCCATTCGCTTGTTCCATGTGGCTACTATGAACATGCAAAAGTTACATATATAAAAACAGGTGGGTTTTATACATATGTGTGTGTGCGTGTATATATATGTTTGTTAAAGAAACGTCTAAACCACCTCCATGCGGGATGTCATTACTCTTCACCCATCCGCAGCGGTGATGGCGATGGCCCACGGGACAGTCCCTCAGCAGCAGCAGCCTCCTCCGGAGGCAGCGGTGGCTGAGAACGGTCCCGTCGTGACCCGAGTGGTCCCTGGGCTGGAGCTGGGACATCCCCCGGGGGCTGTCGCTTTGATTCACTGCTGGCCCGAAGTAATTTCTTACCCGGTTAGTGGGTATTTCAAGCTGGATGAAGTTATTTGTTGTCCCTAATGGGGCTGAGTGACATTGCCTTGGGTGACATTAATGCCTCACCTATGCGGGAACCAGGACCGCTGCTCCGTGAGCGTGCATCTAACTAATTAGCGAGGTGCCGGCAACTTTTAACAACCTCAAACTTTTTTTTTTTTTTTTTAATGCCTTAAAACCTGCAATTAAGAAATTTGGCCCCGGCTGAGCAATGGCAGGGAGATGTCGCCAGCACCAAGGGCTCAGCCCAGGGGTAACTTGGCGATGGGTTGCCACCAGCAAGCGATGGAGGACCTGGGAGAGAGCAAGTGCCAGACCCCGGCTGGGGGCCCCGGCTCGCCACCGAGGCACGGCGCGATGGCAAAGGGTGAAAAGTGAGTAAACTTGGGGTTTCTGCAGAAGAAAAAGCGAGCCACCCACGCACCAGGAAATCTCTCCTCTCCGTGTGGGTGGTGGAGGCCCCAAGATGAGTTATCTCTAAAGGGCGACTCTGGGGATACCTAGAGATCTTCATCAGCGTGGATTCGGCGCGCGCCGAGGAGGAAATATCAGCGTCGCCAGCTGGGGCTTTGGGTTTTGTGTTGTTGTTTTTTTCAAAGCTCTTTTTTAGCAGCTCATTTTAAAATCGGTTAGAAAATAGGAGCCTCCACCCCCCCAGGTCGTCTCTCTGTGGACCCGTTCCCGTGGCCGTCACGCCGCCCGGCCCCTCCTGGGATGGTTTTACCCTTTATCCCTCCTGCTTCCTCACGGGATGCTCGTGCAAGGGGGTGGCAGGAGCAGGTGCCCGGCACGGGGGGCTTCTCTTTAAGGCTGTTTAATGGAAAATAAAAGGGCACGGGCAGCCTGAACCCGTCCCTGCACCAGTGCGGGCAGGCAGCATCCCTTTAGCCATCCCTACAAGCTATCCCATCTCAGACCTCCGGTCCTCACCGGGGCTCAGCTATAATCATTCATAGCGAAACTTCAAGCCCAGAATGATAAAACCAAGGCGATCGCAAGCAAAAATCCCACCTGGTGCATCACTGCAGGCATCCTTGGAGCTCACACCCATGCCTGGCTTCCCTGGGATGCTCTTAGCTGTTGAGCAGGAGCAGTGCTTGCAGGCAGAAGGGATGCTTGCCAAGCGAGGAGGGATGCACGGCGAGTTATAGCTAACACCTATTTACCATATATAACGATGTGAAACTCCTACACCCACGTGAGCTCCTTCTCCACTCGCGGGGGGGGCTGACATTTAAGCTGTAGAGGCTTCCACCCGGCTGGCGGCACAGCTGGCGGGGACACACCTGTACGGCAGCCGCTGCTAAAAAAAAAAATCACTATCCCGAGGTGGGGCAGGCAGGAATTAGCATTAATTAGGGGCAAACACACAGGTAAAAAAACTCCATCGTGCTCATAACGCAGCGTGTGCGGAGTACTTTTCGGAGTACTATGAGACGGGGAACTAAATATATATATTTATTTACTATATATATAAAAACTTGAGCCTGGCAGAGGTTTCTGTATGGACAGAGAACAGCTGGCTCCAGCTCAGCTCGTAAGAAAATTAAATGGAGGAGGAAGGGGGAAAAAAAAAAAAGCAACCCCAGCATTGAATGTTTATATTTCCACCAGCTACAAGGAGGTTTCTCCAGCTGATCTGCCTCATGGTGCAACTTGCTACAGCTGACTTGTTAACCAGCTGCTTCATATCAAACCCGAAGGCTTTTCCATATGCCACAGAAAGCCTAACAAGAGGCAAAGCTGGCTGCGTTAAAGGGTAATCCAAGAGTTATTTGCCATAAAAGCAGGCAGAGGAGCCCCAGCAGCGGGGAGACGCTCCCCGCTGCTGGAAGGAGACATCCCGCCTCGCTGTGTGACATGGAAAAGGTTTACCCAGAGTAAGGAAGGAGCAGTGCTGCCGGGTCTCCCGAAACGGCAGGCAGGTGGACAGGCAGCTGCGGAGCTGGATGGTTTTCAAGTTGAACAATTTAAGCAGAGGAAAAATACCCCTGAAATACAGCGAGAGGCAGAGAGATTTATGAAAGTCTGTTGTTTGTCTCCCTCCTGTGGATAGGTGCACGCATAAAATGAATGCCCTTCACCTCCCCCCCGGGGCCTCTGCTGATGAAACATCCTTTTTTCCTATCCGTTTCGCAGGACTGTAAACCGGGGCACTGCACGAACGCGGCTGTGAGCAGCATCAGGATTAACTGCATCCCGCAGGCTGCGAACTCCTCTGGAGCCCCTCTGAAGCGTGCCACCGCCAAGAGCGCTCTCCAGCCTCTCAGTAGATTGAGATGGCTTGCGTGCAGTCTGAGCAAGGAGGATTTGTAGGCAGGAAAGCCAGGCTGACAAAGTCCAAATGCTGTATTTTTGCATGCCGCGCACACATCGAGCGCTAATTTCCCCGTGCAGCACTGCTGGCTCTCCTCTCCCCCACACGTTATCTTCTTTACAAACCACCCCAGGTCCCATAACTCCCGGTTACGGCTCCCCATTTTATCCACGGACGGGAAGAAGGTCCTCAGCGAGAGAAGCATCTCGGTGCTGGGATTGTCCTGGCGATCCTGGCACCTCGGCAGCGGGCTGCACTGATGGCCATCCACTATTCGCCTTTTGCAAGGCATCAATGCAGAGCGCCGCCAGCCTGCGAGGAGCAAAGCCCTGTACGTATTTAATCCCCGAGATCAATCGGCAGCCACAGAGGCTCGAGCGAAGGCAGCAATAAGCTGCGGTGCAACTTTGGCGTGGCCAGCGCAGCTCGCCCCGAGATGGGGCAGCCGGGGAGTTTTTGCCACCACATGGGAATCCCAGAAGAAGGAGGGGGAAGGCAGGTCGGGTCCAGCGAGGAAGCCCGCCGGAGCAAGCGTAGTTGTGGCTCCAGGGAAAGGTCACGGAGACTAGTTTTAGCAGCAAGTCTCGGCTTAGCAATGCTGAAGGATGCGGAGAAACAAAAAGAAGAGTCGCTCCGTGGCAAGGGGAGCTCGAGAGGTGCCGTCCATCCTTCGCCGTACCTATCGGCCATGTCCAGCTGCTGCTGGTATCCTTTTAAATGTTGGGCTGCAAGAACGAACACAGAGAACGAGTTTTCCTTGCTGCAAGGCGAGCAGAGAAAACCTCCACCCGAGACGTTCGCTTGGTGTGAGCCAATGCAGAGATGCTGCTCCAGGCGATGTCCCTTCTCGCCCAAGAGCACAGCCTTTGCTCCCAAGTCAAGGAAGACAGCCCAGCGCAGATGCCGCCGCGGAGCTGGATTTCTTCGGAGTTTGTGTAATTCAGGTAATTCAAGTTGTTTCGACGTTTAATGTTTGACAAAATAGCTATAAAGTCAAGCCAAGCTCATGCAAACTCGAGTGAGCGACTTGCGTAGGCAGCAACGATTCAGTGCGTTGGCGTTTGGCCGCTGTAATTAAGAAACACGTAAAAAGAGATGAAAAGGAATAGGGGGCACTTTTAAAGGAACGCTTTCCTGGCCTTTTCCCAGAGTATTTCCACAACATCCTGCCACAGTAAGGGAAAACAAAACCTCGTAACGAACAGAAGATAACCCTTTCAATTCCAGTAAGGAACTGAATATTTGCCTCTTGGTTTTCCCCCATCTCCAGTAATTGTTGTGGCTGGTCAGAAGTGAATTTAACGAAAGGGGCAAGTGTGATTTCAGTCCTATCCGATCCGAATCTAACCTGCGAACCTCGGTTTCTTTCAACCTAGAAGCTCCTGAGAGAGAAAGGGTAGAGCAGGAGGGCTGCAAAGGTAGGAGCCCCAAACCTCAAAGAATTGCGATACCAGCACTCCGAGCGCTGTTGCCCATCTGCGCATTTGTCTCGTCACCGAATTAAAACAGCGTTTTCTCCTGTTCATTAATTATCTGCAGCGGCTTTTTTGGGAGAAAGAGACCCGCAGAAAACTTGTCCTCCTTACACCTCCCGACCGTGGGTTTTTCCCTGATCAGGTGTGGAAAGCTACACGAGCTCACGCTCTCGTAGCCCACGTTACATGCCATTTCACTTCCAGTTGCTGTCTTTACTTCTCTTAGACGAGATTGCTGGACTCTTCCACGACGGTAGGGTCTCAGTCTGGAATTCTGTTCCCATTTCCAACAGCTCGCTCCTCCCCAAAGGCTCGGTTCACCCTTCTTCGTAGCGGGAGTCTGAACTCAGCTTTGACCTTGCTTTCAGGTCAGAGCAGCTGATGTCCCGAGGTCCCTTCGACATGAAGGATTCAACGGGCTTTTTCAAAAATCCCAGGGGAGGTTGAAAGCAATTACTTCATCTGTACGCTACTTTTCACCAGCTTTTTTTCCCCTTAGAAATACACAATATTATAACAACTGTCTACAGTCTCCAGCATGCCCATGCCTCCCAAACTGGACAAGTTAAATTAACAAGTAATTTAGTGTAATTTTTTTCCACAAAAGCATAGAAAGATGCAAGTTATCATTCCTGAAGTTAACCCCAAGAACGTTTATTTTTAAAACAAGTTATTACAAAAAGATTTCACACCAATAAAATGCCAGTCCCCAGTAACTGTGCAAACTAACTGCTTATTTTCGCGACCGTTTGTGTTCTATAAGCAACACAACAAGTCTGTTCCGAAGGAACTTTATTTCCTTTGCATATGACTTGCAAAACAAGTCCTTCAGCCTTTTGCGCAAAACTCCTAGAGAAGGCAGGCTGTGGCAACTGGGGATGTTTAGCATGCTCTCAAAGAACTCTTTCCACAGGTCAGCGTTGGCAAGCCTGCAAAGGAACAAAAAAACGCATCAAAAAAAAAAAATTCTAAATTCAAGCTGTTAAAATACTAATTTCCCGTATTTACCCCGGCTCCCTCCCCAGTTAGAGGCTGGAGCCACTGCAGACATCGCTGTAACACAACGCAGCTTCCGTTGCGGCATGCTGCTTAGCGAACCAGTGGGATTTTTCCTCGTTAGTTGTTGCTTCCTCCTTCCAGGCAGCCAGTAGCTGAGGGCGCCGTGCAATTCGCCACGTGCGCTGCCGAAACACTTCCTGTGACTAAGTCAGTGAATTCTGTGAAGCAGTTCCCATGCGCCGAACCCAGTTTTTAGGGCATCAAGAAGTGCACGCAAGCAACGCTGAAAGCTGTGACAGAAACTAACCTCAAACAATCCTGGTACTAATGACGCATCTTTCTAGACAAGGGAAGGTTTTGAAAAGATTTTTTTTGACACCAACCTTCTGAAGGCTCCCTCAGGCTTCCAGATACCGTTTTCGTTCTTCACTTGCATGTAGGTACCAAAGAGCATGCAGTAGACCGTTGCTGCAATGCCGAAGTAGTCTGTCTAAACAAAGTATAAACAAGTTTCATATTAAAAAAAGTGTATTGAGACCACTAATAGTTAGCTGAAAAGCACTCTGTGGAGCCAACAGGGCAAGCTCTGTAAGAAGAGGGTTCAGGATTGCGTTTTTAAAGCAACAAGCTGAAGCCACAACTCTGGTGCAAAAGTCTAATATTTCTATACTCCGTTTATTCACGCCAGATGCATGCAGTAACCTCCAAACGTTCAGGCTGCCTATGCAGTCTCATACCTGGTAGTTCCACGGTTTCTGCGTCAGCATTTCAATACACTGAAATCCAGATGTTTCACACTTTGCAGTAAATGCCGTTTCTTCAGGAAAGAGTTTCATGTCTATGCTCTGGCCCAAGTCAATGAGCGTCAAGCCATGAGAGAGACCATCTATGTCACATGTATCATTGTCCAGAAACCTTTGACCATGACGACAAGAAGTGATCACATAAGTATCAAGGCTACGATATCACGATACGCTGGCATCTCAGGTAGCAAAGGGAAATACTTGCCTTTCTCCAAGTATGAAATTGTCAGGTTTAATGTCACCATGAATGATTTTGCAGCTGTGGAGCTCTTCCACCATATAAAGAATTTTTACAGCAAAGTAGATTACAAGTGCTTGAGGCATCACCTTTTCAGGAAGCTTTTTGTAAATGTTTATGGCATTCTGTAAACAAAAAGATAGCGAAGAACCATCAGCTACACAGAAACAACTTGATATGGATTACAGGTCCATGTTGATAAACCCAGAATACGTTCGCAACGAAGGTCCATCAAGTGGAGAGTAGAGGAGACATCTGAATATTGTAATATAATAGCGCTCCAAAAAGAATATAGATGTTCCAGAGCATGAGCTGATTACACTTACTAGCAACGTTCCATAGTTGTAGAGCTCACCAACCAAAATGCTTCCATTTTGAAAGAAATGAGCAGAATAGAAGTGGATGTAGAGATGGCGTACACTTGGATTGAGCCTTTCTACCAGTTGTGTTGCTATATAGAACTCCCAAGGGTTGGCAGGCTTCTGGACCTGTAACCAAAAAGTTGATTTACTAGGGAAATCTATTAGCATTAAAACCAGAGGTTCTTCTCAGGTTGGGGTTTTTTGTTGGTTTTTTAATGGCAGACGAGGCTTTTTTCCTCTTGACCAAATAAAATACTTGTATCTACAGTAATTAACCTCAGGTCGATACACTCAACGATTAATCCTCTTGAATCAAGACTTCAGTTACACACCACAATTCCATTCTGGCTTATACGCTTTTGTATTATTAAAATGTCAGTCTTTCTGCAACATTGACGTTTCTGCTGGCAACAGACATTTTGTGTAAGAGAGGAGGCTTTGAAGTCAAAACAGGAAAACCCTTCCGATTCCTTCCCCTACTATTTCCCCCGCTACACTGAATACCTGATGCTCAAAAAACCCTTAAGTGACCTTTACACGCTAGAAAGCTCTCAGTTAAGGTGTTAGACTAAGAAGATTTTTGCCGAAAGATTAAATGTTGCAGAAGGGATCCACAAAAAGATTCCAAAGGTAGGAAAAAAAAAGATCTGATGTGGAGAGGCTAAGGCTGTGCGTGTGTGTCAACTCAGTCACATAACCACGTTTCAGCCAGGCTGAAGTAACTGTACACGCGCCCTCTCAGCCAGCAGCAGACGCAGGGATGTGCACGACCTCGTACAACCCTCTTGGGCTAAGCTGACCTCGCAGTCGCACAGACTTTCCTTTTGGCGGCGGTTCGGATGTAAACACATGCTATCATCTGTTGCTCATTCCTGCACTGAGGCAGCCTGGAAGAAGATGGGGCAGAGCAGAGAGGGAACCGCTCACTCTACAATCGCCATCAAGACAGAGTGTGTTTATTATTAAAACCGTACCAGAGAGGTATCGCCCAGCAAAGCCTACGTACTAGCCAGCGGCCACCAAACAGGCTGGCTGCACAAAGTGCAAAAACGCTTGTGGAAAGCTAGTGGGCAATGTATCCGGAACAAGAGAGTGGCCCTTTCGGCGCGACCTAGTCACGAGAGCAATTTTATCATCAATCCACACACGTTTTCATTTGCTGTGGACTAAGAGCACTTGCACAAGTAGCTGCCTTTGTTCAGCTGAGAAAGATAGCCTGGCTGTAACTCTGACTCCTTAGGATACTTGTGACTACTTTATAAAGAAAAGATGAAGAGGCAAGTCGGGTCAAGAGGATAAATAACTTCCCATGTAGAATGAATCAGACATCACAGCATTCAATCTGAACAAGGCTTTAAGGACAGACCAATATGCTTTACTTCATATTTATGAATAAGAAAACTCAGCAGAATCCCCCCAGGGTAGGTGTCATTAGTATAAGACTCCAGAATTTTCCAGCAGAGCTATTCTGACTCAACACTACTTACCTTGAATATTACTTTCTGATTGTTTCTTGGGTTACTTGCATCCAGGATGGAAGCCTGATAGACTTGAGCAAAAGCTCCCTCTCCAACCAAGCAGTCCACATGGAACGAGCTGGAACCTGTAAGAGACTAACAACGTTAAGCCCTGCTTACAAACTTCACAGAAGAGACATCACCACTTGGAGAAGGGGAGGGAGAAAAAGCACCAGCCATATACAAGTTATCGCTTTAACCCTAACGCTAATCTTTCTCTAGAGGTCTCTTCTTGCTAGCCAGCCTTTCCATAGAAGAGAGCCTATACTCTTGAGAACATGGGTGCTGCAAAGTGCCACATACTAAACATCAGTGTTTCTATTTTAGTCTGACTCCCTGGAAGTAATCAAATTCCAAAGTGCATTCCTTAAAAAGTAAACACTAATGTTTGAGTCATACAAGTATGTTGCAATTACTGTCATACAGATTTTGTTGACACGGGACTGCTGCTGTTCTATACAAAGTTTGAGAGTTGTCTCACAGGTTACTAGGAAAGGAAAATTAGGAAAATTTCCTACTCAGAATGCCTAATCAAAAAAGACAAACAAAAAAACCACAGGTCTAATTTCAAATCTGGGGTTTAGATAATCTGGAAGCTATCTGGATATACGCGCAAGTAAACTGAATTAGAAAAATACTTCAGAGGTTCCCAGAAAAAACTTTAAAGCATTTCTTGAAGTGAAATGTTTGAAGTAGCTCTTACCCAGTGGGAGTTCAGTCTTCGGTTTGATGGGTGGAAGAGCAGATTTCCATTCAAAGTAGTTGGCATAGGTGTGCAGTGGTTTAGGAAGCTCTGATAAGAATTTGCAAATCAACTCCTTATCCCAAGGGTTCTCAACAAGGACTTCATGGAAAGAAGAAAAATATTTAAGCCATAAGGAAAGTGTCATTTCAAAGAGGTAACACAAGCTTATTAAAAAAAAAACCCACAAAAAAAATCAAAGAGGGCTAAGTTAGTATTCCTCAATTTTGACAATCCAGCTTTTATACCTGTGTCCTCCCTATTAAAGTTGCCCAGAAAGACAGATGTTTCGGAAGTATTTGAGCCTCAACTAGCAAAGAAGCCTTAGGCACTCCCGAGCGCTCCTGTACTTCAGAATATCTTTGGCATCACATAATACAGGTACGACCCACACTTGCCCTTCCTTACATCACTCGTACATACGCAGCGATCTCCTTGCAGGAGCCACAAGACAGTTCGCTCGCTGCAGTGACCACCTTCGTGTCGGAACAAAGCACTGCTGCAAGAAGGTGACACTGCTCCGGTCTCGGACTTGACGGAAGAAAACTGTAGGCAACGCTCTGTACCTGCAGCTCTCGCACTCCGGGCTGTCCTGTCCTGCCCAGCTCCAGACAGCTTTTCATGGGAAATTTTGTCCGCCCCAAAAGACGAGGAATATTCAGTTCTGCTCGTGGCAGTCTGCTCATGTAATCTTTGAGAAGCAGCTGTAGCAATTCCTTGAATTCCATTTCCTTGTTTCAAGACATTTCCTTGAAGCTCTCCTTGTTCTGCAATGTGTTCAAGAGCAGGGCTACATATTTAAAACAAAACATTATTAATTGACAGTACTGCCATGGTATTTTTGTATCTTCAGTAAGCAAAAATGTGTCAACTTTGGCCATAACCAACATTAAGATGAATAAAATGGACATTTCTTAAGAAAATAAGATCTGGTCATATCGTACTACCCACAGTCTAATAACTTTCAAGTTCACTGGCCAACAAGTTCAGCCAATATTGAAAAGAAAGCAGTAGCTTTACACACACAGACATTAAAACTTTCTGGATGGTTAACTTTAAATTTAAACGTGTCAGAAAACTTAAATCGTAGGAGCATTTTCAGGGGCATTATCACCATGCTCAGGTTCATTTAACTCCGCAAAGGGCCGAGGTGTATGCTAAGCAGAGTCAGTCTGACACAAATACGTCAGCTCTAGATCACCTGGAAAACTTGAATCAAGAGCAGCATAGCAGACCTGCCTGCTCAGGCACAGATTTGCCTAGCGCTCTCAGGCCTTGAAAATCTCAGCAAGTCACGACATACCTCAGCTTCTTCGGTTTTGTCTGCTTGTGCTGTTCTTCAGAAAGCTCCAAATCCATTTGCGGCAAGTCATCCCCACAGGCTGAACAAAGGGAGTAGCAACAATAGCAAATATTTATTTTCCCCAAAGGCAAGCACATTTAGAGTATTCTTACCAAGACAAGAAGGTTAAGTCACACTGCAGCTGTGAAAGTTGCTAAGGTGTCACAAGAGCTAGGACTGAACAAGCCTATTTTAAAATATATAAGGAAAGACAACGGCTTGATTTCTTTAGGGAGTGTATTCCAAGACTAAAGAGGGGCAGACAAGCATAAAGGTGCCCCCAGAAGAAGGCGGCGCTGGGGCTTCAGTCGATTTTTTGACTATTTACAACCCCTTGGAACAGTTCAGGACAGCAGTTCTGCAGTACAGTCGAAGTCTCTCTTGTCCCCCGCCACCTTCTCTTATTCCCCCAATTAAAAATTCTCGGAAGGCTTACGTGCTGGCCAGCCCGTGCTCCCAGCTGCTGTTCTGCAAGGAGTTTGTATTCAGAAGGGGCAGCAGTGGGAGCCATACCTAGGCAGCATTTGGCAAGGCCTGCGAGGTAACCGGGGCACAGAAATGGAGTTACGTAGTACCGAATTAGATGCTCTCAACCTGAAGTATTCGTTATTTTACCTTTGTCCTCCAAAGCTTGTCGTGAATGTGCCGACAGGTAATTAAATGGTGTTGATACAAGCTGGGCAGCTCGTGCAAAGTCTCTTGTGTTGTTTGGACTGGGAGCTAACGTTTTATTACTACTTGGTACATTCCACACCGTATAATCATCCCTCAAGAACTCCGGTGTCCCTGTTTCTTCCTAGACAGGAAAAAAATACATAAAGATTTAAAACTAAGCCATCAAAACTATCCTGCCAGAGCTGCGCTGCGACCTACTAGCAGCCTCTGCAGTCAGTTTCAATAACGTTGAGTCTGCCTGTGTCAACTTACAATATTAGAAAAATAAAAGAATGGCAATATAACCTAAATCACAGGTTTACATAGTTTCGTATCGGACCTGAATGTTGGCAATAATCAACATCACAGCAAAATGCTGGACAACAAAAAATGCCGTAAGAGTCTGAAAAAGCCTGTCTCGTTACTTAGCGATGGCTTATACCCAAGCAGCCCGGCGCTTTACGCACCTCCTTGGCTACGAAAACTGTTAGGTGGTTATTAGAACATTTGGTGTCTCTTGCTCCCTGCCCTTCCTCCTCCAAACAGATGCCAAATCTACATACCAACCGCAGTCGGATTTGTTCTAGAGAAAGAGCTCTCCACTATTAAGCTCCTAGAAGCTTTGCAAAAATTAACAACTGAAAAAGCTCGTCCCATTGGCAGGAAATGGGAAGGGGTATCTAGACTTCAGCTAGGTATCATTCGTAAGAATGCTCAAGATCAGGATAGAACAAAGGTAAATACAACCACCTCCGATATCCCCTATAACTACGTAACCCATTTGCAAGGCTAATTCTTGCAATAACACCAAACACTCACTTCTGCACCCGCTGTACAGTCAGTCAAGGGACGTCCTCCAATAGTTCTGGGCTCTTCTGGCTTGTTTTTATGCTGCGGGATCCTGACAAAACAGGTAGTTTAGAATAGCTTTTCCCCAGAAAGTTTCCCAGGCAGACTGGTCATAACAAAGACTCGTTGTTTTTAATTATTTTTGTAAAGAATCCCATTTGCAGATACTTGGAGAAGTCGCAGTAGCTCGAAGAAACAAGCTATCCACAGCTACCCAGAAAATTAAGCATCTCAAGCACACTGTCCAAACAGGAAAGTTGCGCAATTCCACAGAGGAGCAACTACAGCTTTCTCATGCCACTTCCACACAGCTGCTAGTGACTGTATTCAAGCCAATCCTGTTACTGCAAATACAGTCACAGCAAAATTGTATGGAATAGAAGCAATCCGATATGTAATTCTTAATAAACTGAACTCAGCTATTACTTTTTTCCTCCTTACCCGCTGTTCTCTTTTTCATTCTCATCTTCAAAGATAGAAAATGCAGGCAGGACAGGGGCAACAACATTAGCTTTCAGACTTCCATCAGGCTCTTAAAAATAAAAGGATAACCAATATTATCTTCACCCAATGAAGATTATATAAACAGTCACGTTTTCACCCCTAACCAGGCAACTGATGGTCATGGCTATATCCAGCTAGGCCAGGAGCATCCTCAGAATTGCCACTCAATTCATCCCTCCTGTAAGCTCTTGGCAACGGGGAAGATTTTTCCGTCTCAAAACCAACCGAGACTGGCCAGGAGTACAGAAGCCTTCTCGGCTGCATCTGACCAGTTGTGAAATATCTCTGTGCTCACTCTTGTAAGCCACTGCTACTGCCTGGTTTTCAGACAATTTTAACTGTTACGATAAGATGGCAGTTCAGATACCAACACCCAGCCTGCAAAATGTTTTAGAAAAAGCTTTACTCATATGAAGTACCAGCTGGGCCCTTTTCAAAGTTAGGGTTCAAATACCAGAGAGGTCTCTACAGAGAAGCAACGTGTTTAATACGCACATTAAGAGGCTTGCTAACAGTAAAGTGCTTCTGCTGTTCTCAGACTGTGCATCAAAATTTAGAACCTGTTGGTAAATTAAATTCATTATCAGGGAAGAAGTGGCTTCTTCGCTCCAACACCTAATCAAACAACTACTTATCTCAAAATTATGAGGACTGGCGGGAGGGGTAAACAGGAAATAAAGGAGTGAAATATCATGGACTGAAAAAATAAGTAGTACTTACCACTTCTTCTGCAAAAGACTTCAAATCGCTCCTCGCTTTCTTCAAGAGGAGATGCTTCGGGCAAGATGGGTGTTTGAAACATATCCATGAGAAATCCTAAAAAAGAAATAAAAGCCACAAGAATATCACCCCCAGTGAAAGAAAAGAAATTTTCAGAGGTTCTTCCATTGTGTAGTAATCAAATCAAATGCCAATTAATTATTACCATTTGTCAAATGCCAATAACCAATTATTTCTTCATACTGCATTTGCACACTCCAGACAACTGAACAAACCCTGGAAGGTCCAACTTGGCCAACACATACTTGCTGGCGCCATGGCCTCCTTTTTTTTTTTCCCTCTCCAAGATAGGATTTCAAGTTCTCCTAAAGGAACAAATTCTCCTTTATCTTCTTAGACATTTGGAAGACTAGTGAATATCACAAGCTGGTTTTTTAATTATTATTTTTACAGATATATATTCAGCTGCAGCAGTTTACTACACGGTAGCGGTTAACAGGTTTACTATCAAAACAGAAGAGCGTGGCAGAAGAGCACAAAAGGGATAGAACGGTATCGGGTTATTATTACTCCACAGCTGACATCAGAAATACAACTGCAATTTCCCTTTTAGGATTTTGAAAAAGCAACATTTAGAATTAACAATGTCCATTAAATAATCAAAGACCTTTTGCATAAGTCACCCTTATTTCAGCTCTGGGGGAAGCTCAACATCAACCAGAGTTGACTTATTAACTTCCTCACATTCTTCCACATTAGTCCATTGTAGGTCACCACCTCAGGCACAGGAGTCCCCGGCAGTACTGAGAAGAGCAGCTCAGCGCACACGCTGCCCAAAGCAGCCTGGCAGGTGTACCGTCAGTGACTTATCCAGGAGTTTACAGGATGCGGCTGCTGGGACGTTATCAAAGCATCTCTTTCTGGTCAAAAGCTTTGGGTCATCCAGACAATCGCAAAAGAAGAGTACGGATTTAATTTTATTTTCCTCTTTGATTGAACGGTGCACGTGCCCATCACTAGATAGCCTCCTTGCGTATTCGGCTCCGCTAAAATTACCAGGCAAGATCCCATTAACTCCAGTGAAACTAGCACGTTATTCCAGATGCTTACCCAACGCTTCCTTTGTATGAACCGTAGGTGAAGGCTGCACTTTGAACGGTGTTGCCTGCATTGCTCCTCCCAGCGAGGTGTTTGGGGTAGCTTGAGAAGCATTGCCAGAAGCAAAGGAAGAATTTCCAACTCTAGATGCTAGAAACGAGAACAGCGAGATCATTTCTGAAGCAGCCCGGGATTGTTTATTAACGTTTCAGTAACTAGCAAAATGTTAGTAAGAGAAGTAAACAAGATGAGTAGCAGAACGACAACCCAGAATTTTGGGAGAGCAGATTTTGGCTTGTTCAGAGATCTGCTTGGCAGGTTCCCAAGGGAGACTGCCCTGAAGGGCAAGAGGGACCTTGGACAGCTGGGTGGCCTCTGAGGACTCCGTCTTCAATTCACAGGAATGACCCATTCTGACACAGAGTCAAGCAGGCAGGAAGCCACCAAGGACAAACAGCGAACTCCCGGCTGAGCTCAAACAAAAAGGAATTGCACAGAAGGTGGAAACAGGGACTGGCTCCCTGGAAGGGACACAGAGGCATTGCCCAAACATACAGGGATGAAGTTAGGAAAATCAAAAAGCTTAGCTAGGGTTGGAACTAGTAGCCACGTGCTATTGATCCCCAGCCAGTAACAGTCATACCAATAGCATCAGTCTTTGTCAAAACTGGGCTTATTACCTTCTTTCACGTCCACAGAAGTAGTTGGTCCAGTGGATCCCTTGTTAGGGTGCCTTCAAAGGAAAGATTAAGAACATGAGCTTGAAATTATTATTTAAATCCCAGCTTCAGTTCAGGACTTAGCAGTAATGCACTCTAAGCAGTAAGGAGGCATTTCCCAGTCTAGAACAAAGAAAACATCCCAGACAGGCAGCAACTAGTGATCCTATTTTTTCCCCCCCACGAACGACTCTTTTTAGTCACACAAATGAAGCAAGTGAGAGACCCTTTAGAATATTATTAGGGACTGCCCCCAGAAAGTTTCTCATACAGTTGCTACAGGTATAAAACCTTGAAAGGCAGCAGAGCCCTTTAAAAAGGTTAAAATGCTGGCATTAATTACTCTTCTAGGACACAGTTTGCCTCAAAGTAACTCCATAGTATGAGTGAATGACAACTGGTTCCATTTCCCCTTGGCCAAGCCTACGCAGCCATGCTTGCTTTGCCAACCTAGGTTTCTTCCTCCGTCCCCCAATTTTGTTTCCTGTATTAGCTAAGTCACACAAGCAAGAGTGCGGAAGATAAACGCAAGCACTTCTTTTCTTCTCTGGAAACCTTCACGGCCAAGATGTCACGTATGGGATCTGCATGAACTAAGCACATCCTGTTGTTTATTTCAGGCATGCAGGGACAGCAATGCTGAATAATTACTTCAGTTACACACTGAATTTCCTCTTAGTCATTACAATTAAAACACAGGGTTAAAGGAATTAAAAACTGAAGTGAGGACTGTAAGTTACATAAGTTTGATCCATGTCTAAATATCAGTTTCCACAGGCTACTTCAGATATTTTTTCCAGAAGAGAAAGAAAGACTTTTTTTTTTTTTTTAGTTAATTCTCAGCTGAAGCGTAGATACTGAAGACTGCACAATCTGCAGAGCAAGAATTAGCCTGTTTATACGTACTGTTCTCCAGTGCTCCAATTAAGAGCCAAGTCAGGATGTGCCCGTTCCCGAGCCGAAACATTATTGAATGGAGGGCGTAACAAACTGTTCTGGAGTTCTCCAAGCTCTAGCCGAGTTTTGACTGCATCCTTCTTGTATGTTGCTTCCCACAGGGAGGTCGATGTCATCCAGCGGCCAACGGGTTTCACTGACTGCAGTGTAAGAGCAGAGGATGATAAAGTACTTGATCGAGGCTGGTCTGGCACCAGACCTTGGGCGTTCTGCAGATCTGAGCTTTGACAAGATGCCATCCAGTTCTGCTGTAGACCTGCACCGGGTGTCATGTGTGGATGCACCTTTAGAGATGAGAAATGTTCTTTTATGCTCAAAAACCCCCACACAAGTATAGCCATTGCCATTTTCCCTTTTATTTCTGCATAACTAGAACAGTTTTCCATGCATAAGAGAACTTTCATATGCAACTAAAACTAAATCGCGGAGAAGCAAAAATGAACTTTTGGGTTTAACAATTAAAATGTATTTCATCAAGTATTTAAAGCTATGCCAGGTATCTGTACTAGTCAGGTATTGCAGCCTGAACTTCCAGATTTAGTTAACAATCTACTCTGGTTACTGTCTAAAGCACGGTTAAATTTTGTGAGATAGAATCTTAGAATCATAGAATCTTTTAGGTTGGGAAAGACCTTTAAGACCATCAAGTCCAACCGTTAACCCAGCACTGCCAAGTCCACCACTAAACCGTCTCCCTAAGCACCACATCTACACGTCTTTTAAACACCTCCAGGGATGG